GAAACTCTGGCCCTTAACCCAAGCATGATGAAGACATTGGCCGAATAAAACTATATACGATGCTGCTCCATCGACGCAGTGCGGCATCGATCCTTGCTGGATTCGAGGCGCTGCAGATGGTAATAATTGTTGCGTCAATGGTGAGCCCTCGGACTTTGATCCCTTTTCGCTGGATACTGTGCTGCGGCATTCCCAAGAGATGATGCACACTTGGTACCAAGCCTCCACGCCAAAACAACTGCGTCTTTTCTGCGCGGATGCTTGCCCGTCAACTGATTACGTAGCACCCCACAACTCGCCATCGCTCGGACGTCCATTCCCTGTGCTTTTTCCGGTTTCGTGCGTGGTTTTTTCGCGAGATGGTCAAGGATGCTCCTCGATGGCCCTCGCCGAGAAAAAATGCACACGTCCGAGCGATGCCAGGACAATTGCGGATCAGACTGAGGGGGCGGCGCGGGGAGGGTCGCGGATGAGTCAGTGGGGTGGGTCGTGACTGCGGGTGGGCCGCGGAGGGGGCGACATCAGCAACTGCAACAGCAACAGCAACAACAACAACAACAATTACTAGCACGTGGGGACACACCGTTCTCACCAGTGCCAGGGTTTTCATAGGAGGCGGGCAATACCCCCACTTTGTGGGGGGGCCGGTTCAAGCTCTACCAAATTTCCAAACGACTCTTCGCCACCACCCACACCCAGCTTCCCGCCCTATGACGTTCGGACACTTCACTTCGTGGCATGCGGACGACCGTGGCTACTATTCAGGGCCCCGCGGCCGACGACGACGGCGTGCGCGCGCGAAGAAAAAACGAATGTGTCCCGCATGGTATTATTTGACAGGGATGATGGCCCTGGCAGGTGCGCAACCGTTGTCGCAGAAGTTCGAAAAAGTTGCTCGCAAAAGCCCGTTTGACAGAAATGTTTAAAAAGTGTTGGGTTTCCTACGAATCCGCAAGAGCGCGCGGGATGAGATTTTGACATTTTTTGTTGAAAAACCATTGGTTTTTTGATGTTTTTATGTTAAAATCGCTACGAACACTAAGGTTTTGGAAGGATTTCGTCTTGCGCGCGCGAATGTCCACTTTACCTTATTTTTTGCAAGGGATTCTTGAAGTTTGGTTATGTTAGAACAAGAAATGTCCACTTTAGCTTATTTTTTGCAAGGGAAAACGGGGGACAACAAAACAACCGGATCCGGACACCCACGTTTTGCCTGAGACTTCCTCGCGAAAATGATGAAAATGTGGCTGCGGCCTAGGCGCGGCGAGGGGGCCGCGCACCAGGGGTCCCAACAATAATTATTCTTTAGAATAAATAATGTTCAACAACAATTACTAGCACGTGGGGACACTCCGTTCTCACCAGTGCCAGGGTTTTCATAGGAGGCGGGCAATACCCCCACTTTGTGGGGGGGCCGGTTCAAGCTCCACCAAATTTCCAAACGACTCTTCGCCACCACCCACACCCAGCTTCCCGCCCTATGACGTTCGGACACTTCACTTCGTGGCATGCGGACGACCGTGGCTACTATTCAGGGCCCCGCGGCCGACGACGACGGCGTGCGCGCGCGAAGAAAAAACGAATGTGTCCCGCATGGTATTATTTGACAGGGATGATGGCCCTGGCAGGTGCGCAACCGTTGTTGCAGAAGTTCGAAAAAGTGGCTCGCAAAAGCCCGTTTGACAGAAATGTTTAAAAAGTGTTGGGTTTCCTACAAATCCGCAAGAGCGCGCGGGATGAAATTTTGACACTTTTTTTTTTTGAAAAACCATTGTTTTTTTTGATGTTTTTATGTTAAAATCGCTACGAACACTAAGGTTTTGGAAGGATTTCGTCTTGCGCGCGCGAATGTCCACTTTACCTTATTTTTTGCAAGGGATTCTTGAAGTTTGGTTATGTTAGAACAAGAAATGTCCACTTTAGCTTATTTTTTGCAAGGGAAAACCGATCGTAACAACACAACCGGATCTGGTACACATCGTTTTGCCTGAGACTTCCTCACGAAAATTATGAAAACGTGGCTGCGGCCTAGGCGCGGCGGGGGGGCCATGCACCAGGGGTCCCAACAATAATTATTCTTTAGAAGAAATAATGTTCAACAACAGCAGCAACAGCAACAGCAACAGCAACAACAACAACAGCACCAGCACCAGCACCAGCAGCAGCAGCAGCAGCACCACCACCACCAACACCACCACCACCAACAACAAAAACAACAACAACAACAACAACAGCAGCAACACAACAAGCAATGCCAAGGCTCTGCGCCGCGGGTCCCCACTTCGGCCACGCACCCAAGGATGGTGCAAAACCGTTCGGCCCCCCTCTCGGGCGTGGGCGAGACTGGGTGTAGTGGAACCTGGTTCAGTAATGGGTTCCAGGGAAGGCCCCCCCGCCCCATGTACTGACACAAATTTTAGGCCTCGGGGCTTGGAGGCGGCAAGGGGGTCTGAACTGGTTGGGACATCAGGAAGTCGGTCAGGAGGGGTGGATGGAAGCAACTCTGCTCAAAATCGGTCCCTGGATCCAGGACCCCTCCCCATGTCCATCTGGTGCGAGTCTTCGCCTCTGATCCGTTTCTGGTAGTCCCGGGGTCCGAAAATAGCCTCCCTCCAAAGACAGAAAAATTAGCCGGGCGAAGGACCCAACCATATGTAGTTGTGCGTACCGTCGTTGTACGCACCGCATTCGGAGGAGCTCCCTACAGGGCCACGAAACGTGTGAGGGGTGTGCCAAAATTCGTCCGGTGGGCGCATGCGAAAGCAGCCACTGGGGCTGTTGGTGGAATTCCCGATGGGGCCACGAAGCGCTGAGAGGTGTGCCGAAATAGGTGCGGTGGGCGCATGCGAACGCAGCCGCTGGGGCCGTCAGTGGAGCTACCTCTGGGGCCGCGAAACGTGTGATGGCTGTGCCGAAATGGGTGCGGTGGGCGCATGCGGGCGCAGCCACAGGCGCCTTCGGTGAAGCTCCTTATGGGGCCACGAAACGCTTGAGGGGTGCGCCGGAATGTGCGTGGGTGACGCATGCGGGCGGTGGCACTGGGGCCCTCGGTGGCGCTCCCTATGGGGCCAAGAAGCGTGTGAGGAGTGTGCCGAAATGGGTGCGCGGGACGCGTGCAAACGTACAAGTGGTTTGACAAAGTGGGTGTGGGGGACGCATGCGGGCGGCGGCACTGGGGCCGTCAGTGGAGCTCCATCAGGGGCCACGAAACGTGTGAGGGGTGTGTCGAATTGTGTGTGGGGGACGCATGCGGGCGGCAGCACTGGGGCCTTCGGCGGAGTTCCGTATGGGGCCACGAAACGTGTGAGGGATGTGTCGAATTGTGTGTGGGGGACGCATGCGGGCGGCAGCACTGGGGCCTTCGGCGGAGCTCCTATGGGGCCACGAAACGTGTGAGGGGTGTGCCGAATTGGGTGTGGGGGACGCATGCGGGCCACTGGGGCCGTGCTCCTATGGCCCCGAAACGTGTGAGGGGTGTGCCGATTGGTGTGGGTGACGCATGCGGGCGGCAGCACTTGGGGCCCGGCGCATGCCGGCAAGCACGGAGCTTAAGGGGCACGAAAGTGTGGGGGTGTGCCGAATTGGGTGTGGGGGACGCATGCGGGCGGCAGCACTGGGGCCTTCGGCGGAGCTCCTATGGGGCCACGAAACGTGTGAGGGGTGTGCCGAATGGGGTGTGCGGGACGCATGCGGGCGGCAGCACTGGGGCCTTCGGTGGGGCTCCCTATGGGGCCACGAAACGTGTGAGGGGTGTGCCGAATTGGGTGTGCGGGACGCATGCGGGCGGCAGCACTGGGGCCTTCGGCGGGGCTCGTATGGGGCCACGAAACGTGTGAGGGGTGTGCCGAATTGGGTGTGCGGTGACGCATGCGGGCGGCAGCACTGGGGCCTTCGGCGGAGCTCCCTATGGGGCCACGAAACGTGTGAGGGGTGTGCCGAATTGGGTGTGGGTGACGCATGCGGGCGGCAGCACTGGGGCCTTCGGCGGAGCTCCTATGGGGCCACGAACGTGTGAGGGGTGTGCCGAATTGGGTGTGGGTGACGCATGCGGGCGGCAGCACTGGGGCCTTTCGGCGGAGCTCCCTATGGGGCCACGAAACGTGTGAGGGGTGTGCCGAATTGGGTGTGGGTGACGCATGCGGGCGGCAGCACTGGGGCCTTCGGCGGAGCTCCTATGGGGCCACGAAACGTGTGAGGGGTGTGCCGAATTGGGTGTGGGTGACGCATGCGGGCGGCAGCACTGGGGCCTTCGGCGGAGCTCCTATGGGGCCACAAAGCGTGTGAGGGGTGTGCCGAATTGGGTGTGGGTGACGCATGCGGGCGGCAACACTGGGGCCTTCGGCGGAGCTCCTATGTGGCCACGAAACGTGTACTGGGTGGGTGAAACGCAGGGAAGAGGGGGAGGAGGGAGGAGGAGGGGGAGGAGGAGAGGAGAGGAGAGGAGGAGAGGAGAGGAGAGGAGGACGCGGGGCACCGTCTCTTCAAAACGAGGACCCAACACCACAGGATGGTTGGGAAAACCACACAACCTAATCGAACCCAAGACCTCGAACAGAACCCCCCTTCCTGCTCGTCGGGTCCAATGCTGGGCCACCTCAGACCCGCAACCGCCTCCAACGGAGGACTTGGCGTTACGATTCTGGCCAACGTTGTGGTCTTTGGGGCCCAATCACTAACTGGCTCCCCTTGCCCGGGGTTCTGGCTGTATCCGACCTTCGCTTTAACGTTACCAGTCGGGCTGCTGAAATAAAGGACGATCAGTCAGGAGCGAAACCCCTCTTTCTCCAAGTCGAGCCGTGGAATCCAAAGGCACAACTGTATGTAACATCTAGAGGCGCACCGAAGGGTCTCGCCCCCCCAAAGAAGCAGCGGAACGCATGCAAACTTACTTCAACGAACTGGACCGTATTTCCACGAACTGACTGTCTGTACGTGCCCTACTCTGCGCGGTGGCTGTACCCGCACCTCCGCGCTCGCGCGCACCAGGCCGAGGCGGCGGCCTCCACGGGCATCTCGCCCTGCGTGTCGGCGTCAAAGTAACCGATGAGCTTGAAGCCGTCTTGGGGGCGCTGGAGGGGAGGCTCCTCCTTCTCACTACTCCTAACTCCTGACTCCTCACTGCTCACTCCTCCTCCTCCTCCTCCTCCTCCTCTTCGCTACTCCTCACTGCTCACTCCTCACTACTCGTCACTCCCTCCTCCTCCTCCTCCCCCTCTCCTCCTCCGTCCTCCTCCTCCTCCCTCCTCCTCCTCCTCCTCCCTCCTCCTCCTCCTCCCCCTCCTCCTCCTCCTCCTCCTCCTCCTCCTCCTCCTCCTCCTTCCTCCTCCCCTCCTCCTCCTCCTCCTCCTCCTCCTCCTCCTCCTCCTCCTCCTCCTCCTCCTCCTCCTCCTCGGCGGGCTATTCGCAAGGCCGGGCGCCTAATTACCCTCAATTTCTGGCGTCGCAATTTTGCTTCGCGCTGGGCGGTTTCGCTTGGTCTCGGGCCTCGGGACCACCACTGATCGATCCGGCTCGAACAGTGCAGCGCAGTCGTGGGGTCTGGGGCTCTGGTCGTGATCTTTCGCGATGTGTTTTTGTTCGCAGCGTCGGATCCTGGGGTAATTAGATGGGCCACGAGGCACGGGGGCCAGGAAGGGCAGGACGAGGGGGAGGGACAGGGGTGGGAGGCGGAGCGCCAGCAGAGATGGGATATAATCCGAGCCGCAGTGACCAAACGCAACAAGCTCTGCAGGTCGACCGTGAGAATGCTTCGTGCGAGTGCTCCTCTGCCGGAGGCGCGGTGAGGCTGTGACGAAAGAGTGAGGAGCCCTCCCCGTCAGCGCACCCCCGCGTGCACCTCGAGCGAGCAACGTTGGGGTGCCGGCGCGCCCTCTCCTTGCGCTGCCTTCGTTCCTCCCGCTCCGTCAGCCCTCCTGCCTCTCCCTCTCGGCCTCTCGCTCCTCCCCCCTCCTCCCAGTCCGCTCTCTTCTCCCCCCCACCCCTCTCCTCCTCCCATACTCGCCCCAGTCCCGCCCTCCCTCCTCCCACCCTCCTCCTCCTCCTCTATCTCCTCCTCCTCCTCCTCCTTCAGCCCCTCCTCCTCCTCCTTCAGCCCCTCCTCCCCAAATCCCTCCCTTTCTTCGTCATCCATCCTTTTTCCTTGCCTCCTCCCTGTCACGCCCCACAGACATGTCGGCAGGGCGGGCCGGGCGCTTCGCCTGAGACGTCTTCACCACTTCTGACCCTGAAGACTGGACTCTGCAACCATTTAACGGATGGAGGGTGGGCCGTTTTCAAAATGTGGCGGGCGCCGCGCAAAATCGGCTTGAAAGTTTGCAGCCGTTTCACGGATGGAGAGCGGGCCGGGCGAGAGCCCTCTTCAAAATGCGACTCTCGCCTTAGCGCCGCGCGCATTTCCCTTCCAAGCTCGCAGCACATTCGCGGACGCAGCAGTCGCGTTGATTCGCGGCGCTGAAGTCCTAGTCAGGACTTGTGTGTTGGCACGACTCAAGATTCTTCAACGGTTGCCTTCTGTAGAGACACTTCTCGCAAGTCGTATGACAATTGAATTTGGAGGGTGGGTGTATTGCAACGTCGTTGGTGCGTCTTGGCTTTGCAATACACTGGTCCTCCTCCTCCTCCTCCTCCTCCTCCTCCCTCCCACTCTCCCCCACCTTGCCCCCCTTTTCCGGACCCTGTCCCGGAGGGAGAAAGAGAAGGGCAAAGAGAAGGGGGGTGGAGGGGAGGAGGAGGAGGAGGAGGAGGAGGCGGAGGAGGAGGAGGAAGAGGAGGAGGGGAGGGCTTAGGAGGGCTGGGAGAATGACGAGGAGGCAGAGCCGGGGCGACGACGACGAGCACGACGACGGCGGCAGCGGCGGCGACGGCGCCCAGCCGCGACGGTGGGTGGCGACCTCGGGTCTCCGGGCGGCCCCTGCCGAGAGCGCCCCCCCGCGGGGTGCCTCACGCCGGCGAGCACCGACGAGGGGCGGCGGCCGGCGCGGCGGCGACGATGGGCGGCGCGGCGGCGCGGGGCGGCCGTGGCGGCGAGCCCGCGGCGCCTTCGGGCGCGGCGGCCGGCGCCGCGGGCCCGGCGGGCGCCGCCGGCGGCGGGGCCGCGGCGGCAGCCAGCGCGGCGGCGAGCGCGAGGCGCCATGCGCCGGGCCTGGGCGGCCCCGCCCAGGCCTCGCAGTCGTCGTCGTCGTCGTCGTCGTCGTCGTCGTCGTCGGTCGTCGTCGTCGGTCGTCGTCGTCGTCGTCGTCGTCGTCGGTTGTGGTCGTGGTCGTGGTCGTCGCCTCCCCTTTTTTCGGGTCGCTCGACTGGTGGGGGGGAGGCTCGCAGCCACGGTAAGGGCGCAGCTGGGAGGGCTGGCCTGGGCAGGCCCAGAGATAGTCCTGGGCGGACGAAGATCCGCTCGAAATGAACCCTTTGGGCCCCTCTGGGGGGTCACGGCTTTCGGGGGAGGAGGAGGAGGAGGAGGAGGAGGAGGAGGAGGAGGAGGAGGAGGAGGAGGAGGAGGAGGAGGAGGGGGAGGAGGAGGAGGAGGAGGGGAGGAGGAGGAGGAGGAGAGCAGGAGGAGGAGGAGGAGGAGGAGGAGGAGGAGGAGGAGGAGGAGAGGAACGACTACGGCTACGCCGCCATCGGCGGGCGCGCTGGGCGTGAGCGGATGGCCGTGAGCCGCCCACCGCACGTGACAGCCCCCTCATCAGCTGCGCCTTTGCCGCGGCCGCCAGCCCCTCCTTCCCCTCCCCGAACGGCGCGAAAAAATCGGCAGAGACGACGACGGCGACGACGACGACAACGACGGCGTGAGCGGATGGCCGTGAGCGGCCCGCCGGCCGTGACAGGCGTGCGGTCGGGGTGCGTGCGGCCGGCCGTCATGAGGCACGGCGCCTGGGTTGTCCCCGTGGTTCGAAGATCGAGGTTGGAGGCTCGAGGATCGAGGTTCGAGGCCCAGATTCGAGGTTCGAGGTTCGAGGCCGAGGTTCGAGGTTCGCCCGGCACGGCGCCGCTGCTCGAGGTTCGGAGTTTCTGTCTTTGACGTTCGAGGATCGAAACTGCAAGGTGCTCGTTGTTGGGTCGTTCTCGGCGCTTGTCCAGCCCCCCGGGGCCTCCGCAAGCGTCCCTGGGCTTCCAGAGGCCGCGGGCGCGCTCCAGGAGGCCAACGTCACCAGATGCCACCAGGCCCCGCGCCTCGCGCTCCACGTTGCGCCCGCGGGGGTCCGGTGCGGAGCGTGGCCATCGTCAGCCGGGCCCCTTCCCCCTGCCTTCAGACGTGATCGTCGCCGGCAAGGTCCCGCTGCTGGTTGCACCGCGTGCGGGCGCGTGGCCTTCGCCCGCGTGGTCCCGCCGCCCTTGGCAGCCCTGGGTGCGGGGGCGTGGCCGTCGCCATTCGTGTCGGCTGCGGGGCGTGGCCGTCGCTCCCGCGGACTCGCACTCGGCTGCACTGGCGCTGGGTCTGGCCGTCGCCCGCACGGTCCCGATCACAGGGGCGGGGCCCCTGCCCGCGAGGTCTTGCTGCTGGATGCTGCGGCCAGCGCAGATTGAGCGACGGGGCCCCACGAGCAGAGATCGTTTTGGAGTCCCGGTGCGGTGACGGACCGTGCGGTGACCTCGGAACCCCAAGAGACCTCCCCGCACGGTCCGTCACCGCACGGTTTTGGGACCCCGGAGGCCCCTGTCGCCCGAGACGTCCTCGGAGAGGGCCTCGAGTCCCCACCGACTCACCGCGTGGAATCCCCACCGACTCACCGCACGGTGTGTAGTCACCACCCCGTTTGGGGGCCCCCGAATCGTGGCCCCCGTCCGCCTTCGGCTGCCCTCGGGACCAGGGGAGGGGGGGGGGCTCCGTGGGGGACCCCGCCGTCGTGGCCCACGGAGTCCCGCCCAGAAGGCCACGCCCGCCCGCCTCGGTGCGCGGGAGGGGGGGCCTGGCCTGTGTGATGCTTAGAAGCATCGCGAGCGCGCCAGGCCCGCACAAGGTCGCACATTCCTCTTCCTCCTCCTCCTCCTCCACCTCCTCCTCCTCCTCCACCTCCACGACCTCCTCCTCCTCCACCTCCTCCTCCTCCTCCTCCTCCACCTCCTCCTCCTCCTCCCCCTCCTCCTCCTCCACCTCCCCCTCCTTGTCCTCATCATTACCGTTGGTCGTCGGCATCGTCGGCATCACGACCGCCTGCCTCGTCGTCCTCATTTCTTCGCACTCCTCCTCTACCTTTGCCTCTTTCCGTCTCTCGTCCTTCTCGGGCAATGCGTCCCAGGGTGGGCGTATATTTTGGGACCGCCGCGGGAGCTTTCTCAAGGTCGCAGGGGCTCTTCTTGGGGCCGATTGGGGAACTACCCGAGCCTTTTTCGGGACTTTGTGAAAAGCGATCTATGGGAGCCGAACGGCTTCTTGGGCATGCTGGGGCCGCCGAAAACGTCGCGGGGACCCTTTCGGAATCTCCCGGGAACCGCTTCGGTGCGTCTAGATTTGCGTCTCTTCGGAGGCTCTTGGGGCTCTCTCGGGGCCTTTGGTCTTTCTCGGGTGCACCTGGGGGCACCTTCGGAGCGTCTGGGAGGCCATTTGGGAGGGCATGGTGGCATGTCGGGAGCCGTGCCCCCTTCAGAAAATCAACGTCGCGTCCCTCTTTGGAGTCTCGTTGGCGCCTCTTCAAAGCCTCTCGGGGCCCCCTGGAAGCTCGTCTTGGGTGCTTCTTTGGCCGTGTGGAAACGCTTTTCTGTCGGTTTGGGAACCTCGGAAGGCGCTCGAGGACCTGCCCAGGGGGGAGGGGGCCCGGGATGAAACAAGGGCAGATCGGACGCGGGGTCCCAGGGCCAGGATCTCCAACATATTGTATGTATCATCGCGCGCTTTGTGCGCGCTCAAGTCTTAGCCAGCTCGGAAGGTTGTTGCCTCTTCGGGAGCTTCTTGGGTGGATGTTTGCCTCGTCGGGGGCCTCTCTCGGCGGTGGACAAACCTCCCATTAATAAACCTCCCCTTAGTGAAAACGGCCTGGGGCCGAAACCGACGGACCTGGACCCGCAAAAATGACGGCCGCGAGGCCCTCCCGCGAACCGAAAACGGCGAATTCCTTAATCGACGTGTCAGGGTAGGAGGTCTATCCACCCCCGACTCTCGGAGGTATCTTGAAGGCTCTCAGGGTCCTGCTTGGGGGCACTTGCGGCCTCTCGGGGGCCCCTGGGTGCTTCTTGGGGGCCTCGAGGGACGTCTTGGGGATTCTTCGTGCAATCGGGGGGCAATTTTGGGCGACCTGGCGCCGTCATGGATCGTCTTGGCTGCGTCGAGGCCCGTCCAGAAGCCACCTCGGGCCGCTATCTGGGAGGGTCCCTGGGCGTTTTGGGGGCCGTCATGAGGCACTCTGGGGCTCCTCTTGGGCATTTCCTCGGCCATGTTTGAAACATCGCGGGGTCTCAGAGGCCTGGCGGAAGCGAAATCCAGATTCATGCAATGGTGCACAATTGCCACAATAAGTCGGCAGCCCCAGGCCATACTACGAAATTGTAAAGCATGCAGTGGCCTCAGCTTCGCGCTGCAACACCCTCACGCACATCACGTCGAAGAGTGCTCTTCAAACGCGGGTGGCTGGGTGTTCCGATTTATCTTAGCACTGGGTTCACAATGCTACAAAGCAAACACACCCGCTACCTTGTCTGCACGGAGTGGGCGTTAGAATGCTCCTGTGGTCCCTTTGGGAATGTTTTCAAATGTTTTCCAGGGGGGGCGACTCCCCCTGGCTCCCACGCACCTGTTGAAAACCGCCCCCCCTCCCCCCCTGAAGTTGCTTTCTGCTGTTTATTCGGCCTCCAGTCGGCCAAGATGGCCTCCAAGACAGCTCAAGCGCCTCTCAAAAGAGCCTCAAAACGGCTCAAAATAGTCCAAGAGGGCCTCAAGCCGGCCCACACAAACTTCCAAGACGGCCCGAGAGAGCTCTAAGAGGCCTTCCTGGAAAGCCCGAGGGGGCCAAAACCAATGATTTTCGTTGGGCGCGTGAAAGGATTTTGATGTTTTCGCATGTTCGGGTTTCAGACCACCCAAGACGGCTCAAGGGGCTTCCAAGATGCCTCCAATATAGCTGCAAGATTACAGTCGGCCCAAGAGGACCCAACGATCGCCCAAAGGGCTCCCAAAGAGGTCCCCCAAACGACCTTGAAGCGCTCCAAGAGAGCAACAGGACGGCCCAAAGAGGCCTCTTGGGCTGTCTTGGGCGTCGAAAGCCCAAACATGCCAGAACCTCAAACCATTCAAGCACCAACAGACATTCCATAGTTTTGGCCTCCTTGAGCTCTCCTAGAGGACCTCTTGGAGACCTCTTGGGCCGTATTGGTTGCCCCTTGATCTGTCTCAAGGCAGCTAAACTGACGCCAAAATGGGGCAATATGGCCCAAGGTGGCTCAAGAGGCTCCCAAGACAACCTCATGACATACCAAGAAGCCCCCACGACGGCTAAAGAGGTCTCCAAGGCGCCCTCCTGGAGAGCCCGAGGATGCCACACTGATTTTCCTTGCCGGGACGGCCCAAGAACCCCCCAAGAGGCCTCCAAGATAGCTCCAAGACAGGCCAAGAGGCCCGAAATCGGCCCAAAAGGACCATAAGATCGCCCAAAGGGCGGCTCCCAAGAAAGCCCCAAGACGGCGGTGAACCGCTCCAAGAGAGGGCACCAGCGCGGCCTAGAGAGGCCCCCAAGGCGGCCTCCACAAGCGTCAGACGGACCAGGAGTCCCCTCAGACGGCCCAAAAGGCCCCATGAGGCCCGCGAAGATACCCCCAAGACCCAAGACGCTTTCGGGAAGCTCCCAGGAGGCCCCCAGGAAGCCCCAAGAATAGAGGGCAACAATTCCCCCCCCACAATAACCACCCCGACACGCCCCCACTGAAGGACTCGAATAAGGCAAAGCTGTTTAATAAACGCCCAGGGCTGTCAATTGTCCGGTCTGGGTGGTTTTCCCTCCCTTGAAAGAAGGCCCCAAGAAGCCTTCGCCTTCTCATCCTCATTTTCTCCCTCTCCTCCTCCTCCTCCGCCTCCTCCTCTTCCTTCTCCCTGACGCGCGGACGAAGACGAGGTCGGGATCCCGCCCCGCCCCAATGCAAACTACTCGCCGGAATTGCGCTGTTCCTACACTCAGTCTCCTTCCTGCTGCGATGTTGCACAAGCGCGGTGCCTGT